AGTTCAACTGAAAGACTTAGTACTCAGCAGGTGGAAATTTGTCGCAAATGGTCCTCTACCAGAGGTAAGACGAAAACTTTTGTTATTTTATTCCACCTTAAGTAAGCGTAGAAAACTAATTATGTGCTCAAATTTTTGATTCTTCTAATTATTCAAGAGAAAAATTTTTCTTAAGTTCTTTATTTAACGTTAGTCTTCTTATTTATTATACTTTGACGTATTTCAAATTTATTTCCAGAATTGAGTTTTATATGAAAGTAAATGAAGTAAAAATTTAAAACGCAGTAAATGCACTCACACAAAGTGAAGGACTTAATTCGAATCGAATACATGCAACAACTTCAACGTAGAGTTTGGCAGGTTTACAGCAAAGTCCTTGACAATTTGACAACAGACTTATCCATTTTACTGCGTCCAAACAAGTTGTGTGCACTTAAACGCATTTATGTTTACGTGCTTCATGGGTTTCTAAAGGCTTCAAATGAGCAGAGCTTATACTGTTGACTTTGACATTGATTGCTCTGTGTTGCTACTTTTGCAGCAATCACTGTCAATGGTAACAGTTGAAAAGCTAGCCACATTGCCTCAATCCAAAAATGACACTCATCAACCGTTTCATCGTACAGTTTTTATTATCAAATGATGGGCCTATGATTGCCTTGATAATTTAATAATCAACGCATGTCAAACTAGAAAACTAGAATATGTAGTGCTCGTATAATGTCAATGGTTTTGCGGGTATTACATAGATGTTATCATTGTTCTAATCAAGGTTAAAATATTATTGTACATTGTAAAATTGATGATATTTGCAATTTATGACATTTTTTGGATTTAATATTACTAAAAAATTATTGTGACTTGCAGGGAAAGATGTTGAAAAACATTACGTTTAATTTTCTTAATAAAAAATGATCATAACATCTATATATAAAGATAGAGAATACAGTGAAATGGCAAGCACTAGATTTCTTTGTGAATTCTAAGGTATCACGAAAGGTGTGGTCAAATTAAATTGATAATATAAAGATGGGCGCAGTTTTCTAAGACGAATAATATCTTAGTCTAAAAACCTATGATAATAGTACGGTAAAACCACAATATTGCTCTTTTGAGAGGTGGCATATAATTGTAATATAACAATCGTGTTAATTCTAAACTGCAAATCCTCACCAAAAAGAAGAAGATATACTTCATAACGAACGCTTGAAACAAAAGAAAGCAAGTAGAATACCAGAACAACGTGGTGCGCAATTGAGACTATGAGAAATAAAGCAAATGGCAAAGAAATGATATTTAGTACATAATTTTTATATGACATTCAACCTTAATTAGTAAGATCATCATATTACTATCTGTAATTTTTATCGTTTAGCTATAATATTGTCCATTAAAGTTGTTTGGGACTTAAAACATCTTTATGGCGCCACAGTGATTGTACTTAATTTTTTTTAAAGCTTATTTAGAATATAACTCTCTCTATGAAATTTACATTCAAATTGATAACTTATTTATATCGTATTTTGCTCATGTAAATATTTTTCTTTAATTTCAGGTAATTATTACGAAAGAGGAAAACCATAATTTATTAACTTTTTTCAAAAAGCAAGTATATAATGTATAATTTTCTTAAAATTTTTCGCCAATATGTGTTTTTCTTTAGCTTTTATTAAAAGACGTAAAAAATCATATACGTCAGACGTAATTAATTTATTGTAATTTGTAGACATTATTGTTGGTATCCTGATAAAATTTCCGCTGAATTTCAGCAAAATTGCGTTGGAATTATTTTATATCTAACTTTATTTATATGTACAAATGACTGTAGAATGCTGTCTGAATACAAATAGAAATCAAACGAAACAAAATGTCATATGAATTCACACTCATGTACACACAAAACCCACATAAAAGTACAATATACTTAACTCGTCATTGTGGAGAAAGCAAAAATGAAAGTCATCATTAAAAAGAAAGTTCTGAGGCTGTTGCTTAAAAAGGGTAAAAAATCTGTGAACAACAAAATCAAAAATTCAACGAAAAAAAAAATTTTTTTTCATTAAGTTCAGTAACTAAATTGCTCGTTTTTATTTGCGTTGTAAAATTAAATTTGCTAAAAAAAGTTTAAAGAAAACATAAATAAAAATATTAAAAAATAAAATACAAATAGGCACTTCACTTTTCGTTGTTAAAAAAATTTACTTAATTAAACTAACAAATCTTTTATTTATATTATTTGTTTTGTATAAAATAATATTTGGTCTCTCATTTTTGAGCCGCACACGTTGAATTTCAGTTCAGTTGTTTATATACACTGAAGACGACCTCCAAGATACTGCAAACAAGTGTTTTTTAATGTCAAGAAATCATTATATATGTATGAGTTATATATTGTATAACAAAGAAAATACATATAAATATATTCAAATTCTTATATAATTACAATTTATTATTTGCACAAGCTTCAACTCAAAAGTTTGTGTCAATAGCTGCGCAACGATAAGATCAACAAAGTAATTTGCATAAAAAGGCGTGCAAAGTATTCAAATCAATAGAAATCAAAGTTGTGTCTGCATTAATAAAGTCTGCAATTTGATCCTGAAAGGAAACGAAATATTAATAAATCATGAAGCTGAGTTCAATTTTCTTACTCTTCACAATTGCTGTACTTGCGCTAGCACAATCTGCTGTAGGACAAAATACAAATAATAACACAAACCATAGTAATAATAGAAATGTCAACAGAGTCAAGCGCCACGGACGTAGGAGGACAACAGCATCAGGATAAAATATTTTAAATTTCATAAAATACTCTAAAAGTGCATTAACAACAAATAAAAATTTCAGATATTATAAAGTAACGGGATTTTAAGGCATTTTAATTCAAATCGATATATCCTAAAGTTCCTAAAGAAAAGGTTACAGCAGTTGTAACTCCCGCCTTAACACTTTAGGGGCTTTCCCAAAGGTTTTAGATGGTTTTAACCCTTGGGTTCTTAATAATACGGTAGCACAATAGGTATACAGGCCTCAGTGGATCCCCCTGGGAATCGCCGGTATACAAATTATAACGTTTCTTTCTAATCAATAGTTTAGTAGACTACCGATATAAAATGACATTTGCATTTGAACAACTTTTGCTCTCTTTTAGAGAATATTTTTTAAACAACGGGAAAAGAAACAAATTGACAGGATTAATATAATTGAATAACCTTCACTCGGTTTTCGAGAACATTTTTTTAAACAACGATCTTTTTAAGATAAGATCAATTTTAAGATTTATATGCCAGACTGTACGCTAATATGGAAAGCATAAACGGACATTTTTAGTTGGACGAATTTTTAATTCTTTTTCCCAACACTACAAGAAACAGTGGGACAACACGTTCGAAAAAGAATGTCACTACTCCGCTAAAATTGGGAGGTCTAGTCACTTCAATTTGAGAGTTAAAAGGATAAATATACGTAAAAATTCAATTTCAAATTGGTCTCTTAATGATAAAAATGCTTCACTGTGGGAAACTTTGGTTTTTGGGTTGAATTTTGAATACTATATTCAAAGATTGAAAGTAAGATTTAAAATCCGACTACTTATATCTTTCAAGTATTATAATAGTATTTTTCAGTTTATTGTAATTTATTTCAATAGGTAAATCTAAAAATTAGTTTGACTAGTCTTTTCTGTAGTGACACACATTGATGTTACTGGGAAATATTTTTTTGGTATCCTATATCTCACCATATTTTGATGTAATCTTGGCCTAAAAGATTTCATTTCAAATATTTCGCATTTAACTAAGCAATACCCTGTATGTGGATATATAAAATTTGTGTTAATTTAAGCCTAAAAGAATGTTAAAAGTTAGAGCTAAATTTATAAGCTCATGCGCTTTCAAGGTTGTAGCTAAATTGGCCTGATAGAATTTATTTGTTAGTGTCGATTAGTTAAATATTCGTTTAAGCAGATCCGTAGTTTACTTTAAGAAGGGCTTTAAAAAGGAATAAGGTTTTCATATAAATGCTGGATCGACTATATTTTTGTTAACGTTTTCTTAAGTCATGTTACATTTATGATGAATAGACATTATGACATATATGCATATATGTGTACATATAGTCCTTTAATTAATTTAAAGTAACTTAAATGGGGCTCTTCAGCTTCATTAAGAGTAAGATTATTGTAATTAAAGAGTCTTAACAATCTAATTCAAATGATTATGATATTATTAAAAATGACTGTGTTCTATTTGTGTTTATTGACATTACAGTAGCTTTTGGTTTCTGACTTTTAGGCTTAATGTATCAGTAAACAAGTGGCATATCATATCATATCATATCATATTTGTTTCCCACATTACGTGAAATGCAAAGTGTCTTCACAGTCTATATAATATTACTATTTCTATTCTTTGCTCACAATTTTGTTAGCTATTAGCTGAGACCTTTTCGGGCTAATCTTTTGGCATGATTGCTCTTAGCTGCTCTGTAATTTATTGATTAGTAAGTTTTGAAGTAAATAAAAAAATTGTTATCATACTTTAATTTTTATTTATTCATTTTGAAAATTTATTTGAGTCAACAGATAATTATTTAAAAAATATTTGAACAATTGTTTTCAGCTTTACTGCGTCTATTATATTGTATTAAAGTCTTTTTTTTTTGTATACTTGTTTTTGGGAAGATATTAGAAGTCATATAAGTAAAAAGACTTAAAATTAAATGCCAGCATATATAAAATGTGTTATATATAAAAGTAAAGAAGACAATGTGTTCTGTATTTTATTTCTACTTAAAAATCTGTGGATCTGCTATTTACTTTTTCAGTATGTTCAAAAATATGTGCAAAAAATATTAGAAATATAAGTAAACAATTTAAGAAAATATTTATTAACTTCATTAATTTAGTTTTTATATAAATATCAGTTTAATTAGAAAACCTTTCAGTAGGTGACAAAGAATACAAAAATTCTTGCAAACGGATGGAGCAGTTGTTGTAAATCATGGCTTTCAGACTTTTGAAAATATATCTAATTATAACTCTTATTGTGGCATATGTTGCAGCACAAAGTACTGTAGGCAATGATGGTAATGTCAGCAACGGCTCAGATGGCGGTGTTGTTAGTACAGGCGTAAGTGGAGTTAGTCCTGGAAATAGTGGCAGCGGTAGCTCTGATGGAAGTTCTGGTAATGTTGGTGATATTAGTGGAAGCGGTGCAGGTGATGGAGGGGAAATAATTCCGATTTCCGCAACAGTTAGAACTACTAGACGAACAACAAAAAGAACCACGCGTAAACCTTCAAGAAGAACAACTCGAAGATCTGGTAGGAAACCGAATAGAAGAAAACCAAATCGTAGGCCAAGAAGACCAAATGGAGGCAAATAAGTTTACTGCCATAAGAAGAGAAAAATTGTCACTCCTGGTTAAGGTACATGAACATTTGGTCACATCAATATGATTTTGTACATTGGTTTCAGATAAATGATATGAGATAAAATTAATAAATGATTAAATAAAACAGAAAAACAATATCGTTATATATTGTTACTTGTAACAGAAGTATTCGTAATAAATTAAAAATGTTAATTAAAAATGTTATTAAGGAAACTAAAAGTGCTCTTATTTACATATCCCCAACTAGTTAAGGTACTATCTGATATAATGAATTGATTATACATACATACTGATTGTATGTACAACTGAATCACTATACAATTCATATAGAGAGGAGTTAAGCACTAATAAAGCGAAAATGATTTTTTTTTTTATATTATTATACAGTGCATTATGACAATATTATAGCAAGTAATAGCTTAAAGCAGCATAAAAGTTATGTTATACTTAAATTTTGTACTATTCATATATGAAACCTATTTATTACATTTGTTGTTACTTATTTTGCACACTCATAATATGTACTTTTATTATGTACTTTGGCATAATATACCTTCATGACCACAATAAATACTACCCTCCCATGTATTTTAAAGCTTTAATATTTGACATCTTTACTTCGAAAACTGTCATTACATCATTAGTAGCACATAAAGCGTTATATAATAAAAATATATGTTTATATACTACACTTCCGAAAGTCCACTACAACAAGTATTTGAAGTTAATAGTATTATATACTGACATGTCCGTATTTTTATTAATATTTGTGTGCTCGTAACTTGCCTGCTTTATGTGGTTATCTTATCCCTTTATGATTATACGAGATTAGCTTTCCTTTATGCTGTCATGATTTGCTGGGCACATATCATATCCTGTAGTGGCATGCATACTGGATCTGTGTTATGTCAACATTTATTTATGAGTGCTATAATCCAATTTTTAGCTATTTCCTTTTGTTCTCTTATTTGCAGATAATCTGTATTTGTCTATATCATAAATAAGCAAAAACAACAAATGGATGCGAATTTGTATATTAGTTTGCTTCGTGTGCAGGATACCATGAAATTTTTGTTGTCAGTCATTTGTCTTGTGGTATTCTTTTGTATGGTGATCATTAAACATTATCGTTACACAAACAGACAACAGGACAATCGGACAACTTAACAAATGAGATTATGTTGACTTATAAGGAGCAACTTTGGAACAACATATGGCACAGTTATTCGCTGCGAACAATTGTATTTTGGGTCGATGTAGCTTTCTACATCCACACATAAATTCTATCATTTTTAGTTTTTATTTTTTTTTATTATTACAAAGTTTCCCACTTTATCTCTCCTACGGTCTTCTAAGATTAATTGTTTTCTGAACTGTCTGTTGGCATTCAATTTTACATAAAATAGCGATTTAATACCATGCAAAGGTTATTGAGTTTGCATCCCTAAATTGTTGCTAAGTGCATAGCAATTTGTATCTATTGTATAAAATTATTGTTAAACAAATTGAAATTGCACAAACTGAATTAGTGTTAGGGTTGAGATATGTGTAGTTTGTACATTATGTTGAGTGATTTGAAATCGTGTTCGGTATTGACTCTGCAAACACAATAACTTATTTATTTCCCTAACAACGAATTGTATACAAATAAATTGTAGAAATATACATATTTTCATTATAGAAAAATTATAAGTTTATTTATTTATAAGATTACAGAAACTTAAAATAATAAAACAATGTAACCAATACTTTGTACTATGCTTGTATCGTTTAATATAAGAATTATTCACAGGAATATCATGAGCTGAAATGCATTCTGTGCGCTGTAATATATTTCAGTTTATATTATAGCACCTCTGGTCATATCATCCGCTTAATCTATATCTAAAAGTTTCTTGAATGGATTCCGTCATTGTCTGTCATTGGTAGACTTCACGTTAGTTTGTTAAGCGAAGCGTAATCTATAAATAGGAGTGGTAAACTGACTCAAATGACACCCCTTAAAAGTAGTCATGTTTTCGAAACGTATTACGAATCTTTGTATATAGCTCTATATTTTATTATTTTTATAAAATTGAATTTTTTCATAGATCATTCCATATTGTTAAGTGCACACTTGAAATTCACTAGAAGGAAAAACAGTAGCTGTCATTCTGACATCTGCTTTACTATAATCATCATTAAAGTAGTCATATGGTCGTTAAAGGTCTACTGTGCAATTAAATCGTCTTGTTCACAACGTATTAATGACTTAATTGTTGATTTTTTAACAATGGTCTTCACAATTTTGTAATGAATACAAACACTAATAATTATCAATGGTCAAAACTTTATTCAACTTTGATACAAGCCAAAATCGGAAACGTTTCCAACACTGTGGCGATCCAGTAGGCTATGGATTTATTGAAATTGAAAAGCAAAATTCAAAATCAAATATATTGTTTCTTTCAAAGTTTGTTTTTTGTAATGTTTGTCAACAATATTTACCTTTATTAATATCTTGTTAAATTTATTTGTGTTTTGTCAAATTCTCAAAATACATTTTAACACATTTATTCCAGGTTATGATTTGCATGATTTTTAATTTAATTTCATTAAATTATTTGGTGTATATATAAAAAGTCGCCCAACTTTATTACATTATACTCCAAATAATTTTAATTAGAGTACATTATGCAGTGCCAATAATTAACAATTTTGTACTGTTAACTTGTAATTTTGACTTTTGAAAAATGTCCGAAAAAAGGTCGACATTTTTTCTGTGTTGAAGATACTTACTCTTCAACAAATTATTCTTTTATAATTTAACTTTTTTAAATCACGTCGGGGGTCCCTTTTGGCTCCCTTTTGGAAATCTGTATTGAGCTCACTAGTAGGTTACTTGATACAAAAGCATATCCAGCGCGCTACATTTCTTCTCTGCCTAGAAGAATAAGTAACTTTTTGACAGATTCCTTCTGACTACTCAGCTTTGACATGGACTGGAGAGTAAACACTTGAACAGCAGCTTCTTGTTTAATCTATAGACTATATATAATTTAAAATACATATTTTTACCATGAAACATCAACCATAGTTTTAACGCTTTACTTTATTTTTTATATTATATAATGTGGGACGTTGTAAATAGTACCCAGCAAGTGGCCCCACTGAAATGAAAGATTAGCAGAAGTAGACTACGAAACGACTTGGGTTCTTTTTCGTCCTTCGATTTTCAGATGTAGTTATTGAGTTGAAGCTAGAGAGGCTTCCATTCAAATAACTTCATATCTAGTTATTGCAAGCAGCTCATTTAGCTTGACGTTGCCTTTCAAGTCCTTATCAACATAATGGTGTCCCAAGACAGTCATTCTCCTGATTGCCAGTGCTGGACCATATATTCACGATGTATCTTTTTTTCCTAGGATTAGTCTGCAAGTATCTTCTTCAACAAGAGTTATCTTTTTGAGGTAATACTTTAAGTTTCTATGTCCAATAATCAATGAGCTCAGCCAGCTTAAGATGTTTCGCAAATAGCTAAGTACTTTTATAGCTTCTCAGGTCAACATTACGGCATCATGAGTTTAGTCTGTCCACTTATCGAAATAAGCTGCAATTATGTTGTAGCTCAAAGTTATTCTGAACTCTGGGCCGCAAAGGTTATGGCTTGATCCCTGCTTTGCTAGTTCATCTGCCTTTTCGTTTTGCTCAATACTTATATGTCCTTTAACCCACATTTCCATTAGCACAATCCATGAGCTTCGTGACACATTCTTGTACAAAGCTATTATTTTTTATAAAATAATATTTAATCGTCCCTATTATAGTCCCTACTATTTTAATCAATTGTGCTGTTCCTAAGGCCCGATTTCTAAACACTCTTAATCAAAAAACATAGATTGATTGAAAAATTATTCGCAACACTTCAAATACATTGTTGACAGAAAAGTAACGAGTGCAATCAAAACTCTTGTTTTGAATTAACTGGAAAGGCTTCATTTGTTGACAGCACGACTTGCCTGCCGCACAATTGCAATGGCGTCACAATTGCCAACGAAATTGCATGACTTTTCAATGAGTCACACAGGATAAAAAGTTTCCGTTGCGTTTTTCCGCAATACCAATTTCAGATTTCATGTGAGATTTCGCTTTCAAAACTATAAGTTTATTTAGTGCCTCCGACGACGACGATGACGACGTCGTTTATTTCGAATTTATTTATTTTTTGAGATATTTTTAGTTTTGTATATTGTGTTGCAGCTTTTGTGCAAAATTTTTATTTGTTGATTTTTCACTTCAGAGAACAAAAAGTTCGCACTTGGAAAGTATGAAGATAAATATAAAGTTTTCTTCAATGTTATTATAAGGAAATGAAATTAAATATTTTTTCATAATTGTGTTAACTTAATTTGTTTGTGGAAGATTTTGTGTCTTTCTTAATTATTTGCAACTCATAATTTTGTTAAATATTTCATCCTAAATGTATTGATGCAAATGTTTTTAATTGCATTATTTGAACACAAAATTCTGAAATAACTTTATTAGCTCAGTGATTTATAAGTTAATTGAACAAAGTAAAATTATTCTATATAAAGAAGATATAACACATTTCATGCTAGATAATATTTAGTTATTTTATGTGTGAAAAAAAAAAAACATTTTCCAAAAGTTTAGATACAAAAGCAAACGATTCTTCAAATAAAATGAATGCTTATGTACATAGGAAATCATCACCTGGCTATACTTTATACAATTGCATTTACTAAATAGGAATACTGATTGGCTGCATATAATTAGCATTTGATTTTCAATTCACTCATGTACAATGGAATTTAATTAAAATGCACAATAATGCGAAACTGGCGCGGTAATAACCAATTTTCTGATTACAAAAGTGAGTGCATGATTGATTTGCTCAGTTCTGTATTGAATTTTTCAAGCATTTTTATTCATGAATACCGACATCAATCAATAAAATATAATGCATATTTATATGTCTTTGAACTGAAATG